AAGATATAATTTGCGCGAACAGTCCCAGCCCAGTCTGAGATTACCCCAGTCTGAATTTACCCTCCTACTGCCAGACTAATCTCAGACTGTGGCTGCGGCCGTCACGCATGCGCACGAGGTGCTGGGGGTAATTTCAGACTGGGGTAATCTCAGACCGTGACACCGGTATGAGTACATGCACAATAAATAATTAAAGAAATAATAGGTCCATTGATTATGCAATGTTGACGAATGCTAGAGTAACTGGCACCTTGTGTAGTTAATAAGTACATTACCTTATAGCCAAATGCGTATTAGTTTGTCCAATATCACTGCTGGTTACTACGAAATGTCTAATTGAAATCTGCAGTCCAAAAAATCAGTTGACCGAGTTGTTTACAGTTTCGAAACCGCTGCCGGCGAAGCGGGTGTGATACATATTTATAGTGCACCGGACATTTTCGCACGCATGCTCGGCCGTACCTAATGCTAGCGATATTACAGTACAGTAACTGTATACGTAACAGTAGCTCTGATTGTAATGAACGTGGAATCCACGTACGAATCACGTACGCTTGTGATAATGAAGTAGGCTGTGTTGGGGTCGGTCGTTTTGTAAAACCGATGATCGATCATGAAATTTGGACCAATCTCCAACACTAACGTGTAGTGCCGTCTGCTTTCCATGTTTAGTCTGTGGCCGTGGTTATAGTCTGCGATCCCCCCCATAGTGTTGGCTGATCGATTAATCATCGATCATTTTAGATTGCGGCGACGATACGGTGACGCCGCGTCATCGTCGACACAACCGGTGTATTGTGAAGATATATTGACATTATTGTATGTGTAGCTAGTATTTAAATTAATGGTAAGTAAATTAAGGATACTGTTAGGGTTACAGACGGGTAACACTCTAAAAGGCATTGCAACATAAATGCTCATCAAATTCAATCGAAAAAAAAATAGTTCGAGTTGTACGCGGTCGTCCGATTTTCTACTCGATTAATCAACTTGGCAGCGCAAACGAGTAATGATCAACAAATTCGATTAATCAGAGCACC